ATGTAGAGCGTTCTGTTGCCTAGTAACAAAGCTGCTTTTGAATACGGATGCATTTTTTTATAACATAACATGTGTTAATGCTGTATGACAGAATGCTCCGATTCCTAGTGCCAAAAGTCCAATTCAGTGAATGTAAGTAAACACACTCATCTATTTCTGCTCCTTTTTTAAAAAATTGGCACTTAAAGTAAATAACCCATCCTTTGCAAATCATCCATGTTGGTCCTTAGGCATTTTACTATTGCTCAGATTGTTGAAGAGTGGTAGCTTGTTTTATGGTTTTTGTATTTGTGTCTAATGCATGTTTTAACATGACAGATGCAATGCATTGTATAGCTACAATTTCCTGGAAAACTCAATCTTTTAGGAATTTTTTTAGCTCTTCAATAAATTGTTTCTTTAAATTAAAAAAAAAAAGTGAAAGGACAACCCAATTTAAAAATGGGGAAAGGATCTTAAGTTATTCTTCAAAAGAAAATATTCAAATGATCAAAAAGCATATAAAAAGACCCACAACACTATTAGTCATTATAGAAATGCAAATCAAAACCAAGAGACACTTCACACTATAAATCATAGTGCTGGCAAAAACATGGAGAAATCAGAAGCCTCATACACTGTGGGTAGGAATGTGAAATGGTTCCCCTACTTTGGAAAACAATCTGGCAGTTCCTCATATCACCCAGACAGTCTCCTCCCAAGTACATACCCAAGTGAAATTAAAACAACCCAAATGCCCATCAAATGACAAACGGATGCACTAAATGTGGCATATCCATGCAATAAACTATTAGCCATAGAAAAAACAAACTACTGATGCATGCTGCACCACAGATGAACCTTAAAAATCAGTACGCTAAGTGAAAGAAGCCAAAGAGACCACATGTTATATTATCTCACTTATATGACTTATCCAGAATAGGCAATTCTGAAGAGATGGAAAAGAGATTGTCCCATGGTTGCTTAGGCCTGAGGAGGGCAGTAGGGAAGAAAACAGGGTAAGATAGTGTTAGCTAACGAGTGTGGGGTTTCTTTTTAAAATGATGAAATGCTCTTAAACTGAGTGTGGTGATGATTACAGGTTTCTATGAATATACCAGAAAAATACTGAATTCTATACTTTAAATGGGTGAATTGTATGGTATGTGAATTACATATCAACAAAACTGTAAAAATTCCCTCTGGAAAGAGAATACATCCTTAATTTATCCAATGTCTTTTCAACTGGGAGCTATCTGACAAGGAAGTCCAATGAACTAATTTTGAACAATAGAATTTGGACCACATATTTCAATAGAGGAGAGTAGGGAGGTGGGTGTGGGTGAGTCTGCAGCATTCATGCAGCTCAGAGAGAGGAAACCCAGATAGGACACTGCAGGCAGTAGAGAGAAGAGCAAAATCAGCACGATTCCAGGAGAAGATATTGAGGAAGGCAAACCTTCACCAAATGCCGCATACTTCACTACCTGGCCTAGAAGTGGACCTGTTCAGAAGTCCTGTCCTTATCAAACAATTTCTATGTAGGCTTTACTTTCTATTTTTCAGAAAATAACTAACCTACAAATGCCTCTCTTTTAGCAAGGAAAACCTGCCCTGGAAAGGGTGGGAGAAGAGAAAAGGGGGTGACAATACTCATATCCTGAAGAAGGAAACACCAGTGTTTAATCTGCATGTAACCCTGTTCAGGCTCAGGCTGTGCATCTTACCCAGTACACAGAAATCCAGTATAGAGCAAAGTCTTTCTTTGGGAAATATACTTTCCTTTCATAATTGTGGAGCCCACAGCCTGTGAAACCGTCAATTTGGTGTAATAAGGCAAGAAAAAAAATAAAACACATACAAACTGGGGGATAAGAAGTAAAATTATGTTTATTTGAAGATGAAATAATCATCTAGTATGTGAAAACCCTAAGGAATTACAAAAAACTACTAGAACTAATATGTGAATTTAGCAAACTTGCAGGATAAAAGGTCAATATATAAAAATCAGTTGTATGTGCCAACAAGGAACAACTAGAATTTTTTTAAATACTATTAACAATAGCATGAAAAAAGTGAAATAGATAAATCTGATTTCAAAAGGTGTGTAAGATGTACAGACTGAAATTACAAAACAGTGTTGAGACAAACTGAAGAAAATCTAAATAAATGGAGGGACATACCATGTTCATTGATCAGAAAACTCAATATTGTTCAAATGACAATTGTTCCCAAATTGGTCGATAGACTCAACATAATCCTAATCACAATCCCAGCGGCCTTGTTTGTGGACATTGGCAAGCTGATTCTAATATTTATATGAAAGACAAAGGACCTTGCGTAACCAAATTAGAAAAAGAAAGTAGAAGAACTTACACTCTGTGACTCAAAGACTTGTTATAACACTTATAGTAACCAGAACAGCATGGTATTGGCATAAAAATTGGCAAATAGATCAAAGAGAAGAAAGAGTAAAAAATAGACCCACCACATACAGAAGACTGATTTTAACATAAATACAAAGACAAGAAAGGATAATCTTTTAAATAAATGGGGATGGAATCATGGATCATACATATGCAAAAAATTTAACTTTGATCCATGTATGTCATGTGCAAAAATTAACTCAACATAGATTATAGACCTAGATGTAATATCTAAAAACTATAAAACTTCTACAGGAAGTAGGAGAAAATCTTTGTAGCTTTGCATCAGGCAAATTTAGATCCAACACCAAAAGCATAGTCAAAAACATGACAAACTGAATTTTATCAAAATTTAAAACTTCTGTTCCTCAAAAGACATCATTAAGAAAATAAAGAGACGAGCCACACGTTGGGAGAAAATGCATACAAAACACATACCTGAGAAAGAATTTATATTTAGAATACATTAAGAACTTGTACAACTCAGTAAGATAAACAACTGTTATTTTTTTAATGGGCAAAAATATATGAGTATACTTTTCACCAAAAAAATATACTAATGGAAAATGAGCATATGAAAAGGTGCTCAATGTCATTAATTACTAAGAAAATGCAATTAAACCAACAAAACATCACTTCACAGCCACTAGAATGGTTACAGTTAACAAAGACGGACTCCACTGAGTGTTGCGAGGATGTGGAGAAACCGGAACCCTAACACACTGCTGGTAGTACAGCCATCTCGGAACATGGTGTGGCAACTTGTTAAAAAGTTGAACAACATTTGTATCATGTGACCCACCCATTCCACTCTTATTACCCAAAGGAAATGAAAGCATATGTTCATACAGAAACTGATACATAAATGTCCACAACAGCTTTCTTTGTAATCACCAACTGAAAACAAACCCAAAACCCCAAGATGTAATATATTCATAAATGGGAATACCACCCACCCAACAATAAAAGGTAACAAATTACTGATACACAAAAAATAATGGATGAGTTTCAAAATAATTACACTGAGTAGTGTTCTGGCTGGTGCGGCTCAGTGGATTGAGTGCCAGCCTGCAAACTGAAAGGTTGCCAGTTCGATTCCCAGTCAGGGCACATGCCTGGCTTGCCAGTTCATCCCAAGTCAGAGCATGTACAGAAGTCAGCCAATGGATGTTCGTCTCTCACATCGATGTGTGTCTCTCTCTTTCCCTCCCTTCCTCCCTCTCCCTTCCTCTCTCTAAAATCAATAAATATCCTCAGGTGAAGATTAAAAAAAAAAGCATAATAATCACAATCCTTAAATGATTGGTTATTTCCTCTTTACTATTTAACAAGAGCTATCTAGATACTCTGATCAATTTTTAAGTAATATTTTTAAAAATCCTGGTAGTAAGATCATATTCTGATAAATTAGAAGCCATCATTCTCATTCATCTTCAGTTCCTTCATTCTCTTCTTACTCTCTGGAGTTGGCCCTTTCTGGCATATGCCCTATATACAAAAGGCCAGGTCAATGAATTTCCATCAGAAAAGGAAAAGGGAAGCTTATTGCTTAATAATGTTTGATAGCCACCACATACAATCAAGAGATATAAATATACTCAAAAAAGGTGCTAATACATTGTGCCACTTTAACAAACAAAAATCAAATATATAAATATGTGTAATATCTGTTATTTAACTTTTTTATTTACACTCAGTGTAGTGAGGGAGGGACACAATGGAGGAAAATTAAACAAAGCAGAAGCTCAGACTGAGCAGTACAACCCTGCACCTGAACACTAGCAAGCGCTAAGCATTTGCTGAATATACACACATGAATGAACAAGCCTGATTTCACTACCATCCATCACCTATCTCCACTTGTCTCCTCGCATCACAACCATATTATGGCTTTTTATTGGCTCTTGAGGAGCAAAAAACAAAGTTTGGGAGTCCTCCATATATCTAAGGGATATATTATGATCAATTAAGCCACTGGGTTAGTAAATATAGGAAATAGAGAATGAATTCACATAATAGAAAGGTATGAAGTCAAGGATAACACTGTCTGAATAAAAATAAAATAAAGTCCTAGTTCTGTTGTGTTAGGGTCCATTTTGAGAAATGTCACCATTTTAGACATCAAAGTTTTGTGTGTTCCACTGGAGAATGACCAGCATGTCTACAGAATGTCTACACCATAAAACGTTGAAATTATACTTTTATGTATATAAAATAACCAATTAGCCAAACAGGTAAGTACAGCTTGGTACATATATTCTGTGCATATATTTGGGCAAATTACTGTAATGAGAAAGTAAAACTTATATTGTTGTATTATTAAAACTTATGTTGTATTCCACAACATAAACTGGTGTTTTTGAAATACTTAAAAAAGATTTAAATAATTTCCTCTCTTAAAGCAATGTCACCTTTCCTCTGGAGGTGTATAACTACTATATTCTTAGCAAGTCCCTTTTCCATAGCTAAGAGAAAGATATTTGGCTCAGTCCCTGTCTAAATTATCACAAATTTTGAATTATAAGGAGATACAACCAATATGATAAAAACCATGTTTGAATTTCATTAGAGCCAAGGGTCTGGATGTTTGCTTACCTCGGACTTGAAAATACTTCACATGGTTTGCCACAGCCTCTGTGACACTTTCATCTGGGCAGATTTTTACTCCACTAGGAAATAGAGTAGATCGCCGTCTTCTGAGCAACCACTGTCTCTCAGCCTCTCTGTGGTCCAGAGGTCGTTTCTTGTCACTAGACAGAGAAGGGTCTGCAGATTCTGAGTCAGCCAGCAGGAAAGAAACTGCACTCTTGGGTTCCTGGATTTCTTCTAAAGATAGGTAGCTTTGTGCTACAGAGTAAAAGCATAAACAAGGCCTCTGATAAATGAAGATACAGTACAAAGGTAACAAAAAAAAATGACATTTGTGCCACATCAGGACTTTTTGAAGTCAATCTCAGATTACAGATGCACGTGCCTAAGGAGAGGAGTGAAGCATTCAATCTTTTCTCCATTTAATTCCTACTTACTCATTTCAAGATTGTTAGCTATTGAAGTCAAATGTACATTCAATTTCAAGGTATACATGTAACTTCAACACAAGAAATAAAAGGAAGCAAGATTTGAATCAGTAAATACTAATGAAGAGGAAAACCAAAGTTATTGGAGAGATTTTAAAACAGTTTAAATGAAGTGATATTAAAGACTAATACAGCAGTATTTGATTCAATTTCTTATAGCACTCTCATCAACTATTATTTTTAGAGAGAATATAATACAGATATAAAAAAGATAAAAACAATGTCAATTTTTAAATACCTGTTAATGATGGAAGGTTTTCTTCTATCAGGACAAATATCAAAATACCCAAAGAAATCTTCCCAAAATGAGGAAACATAATCATTTGGCCAAAACCAAAGGAATGAGGAAAGGCCAAAATCCTTAACTGAGCACCCAAGGCCTTGAAACTTCCAATAACAAATTGTTACAGGAAAGGTCTAACACTTAAAAGTTTATGTTTGAGAACTGACAAACATTCCAAAACCATTATAAATTAACTTAAATACAAATGGTGTCCTTTCAAAGTAGCTCTCACTTCTTTTCTGAAATAATCAGCAAGCTATGAAAGGAGGAGAGATAAGCTAATTAGGACAGATGGGGAGAGACAATTTCTTTAATCTAGCCAGCTAAGCTCTTTACTAACACTCTTTGCCCTTAACAAGCAGTTCATTTAAAAATGTTTCATATGTATTTCACGAATTTTTACAAACCTATTAGTTGAACCTCACAGATTCACATATTCTCTGGATTCTTCCAGAACCTGTAATTTATAAGCATCAAACCACCAGACTGACTATTCCTATCTGAGAAGCACAGACACACAGAGAACAAAATCAGAGTTCTTGGAGCTGTTTCTCTTTATAATAAAGCTACTGCCCTTAAATTTCCCTCCTTAATAGAAAAATTTGAAGATCTTGCACTACAACCACTCACTGTCTCCTTCCTTATCTGTAACATGGGATAGTAGTAGTACCTCATGATAGAGCTATGGGGAGGGCTGAATTAGGTAATATACAGAAAATGCTCAGAATAGTGCCTGGTGCCTTCTCTACACACAATATAAATGACAGCTATGTGATAATAACTTTGTTTCTTAATTTGTTATTATACATTAGGCCCAGTTTGTCATCCTTTACCCAATAGGACCACATTAAGTTCTTTGTGTTAGGACCATTGTTTTTATCAAATAAGTCTAATAGAAAACAATTTAATTTAAAATACTTATGGAAGCTAGAATTTACTATCAAATACCAATGAATTTATTTTATGTCATGTACCTCTGGAGAAGTTTTCATTTAAAAAAATGTTTTGTAAAGATCTAAAGCACATTTCTCTGGAGAATCCTAAACTAATTATGCTAGCTAAATCATACTGTTCTATGTTTTATGAAAAGCTCACCAAGCATTTTTAACACAAACTCATACAATCCACATTTTCAGCTCGTATATACACTAACAAATCTAAATGACCATTAAATATGTGTGTGTAGAAGCATTTGCAATATATTGGTAGGAACTTTATCTGCCAAACTTTGTTGAATGGGAGGAAAAAGTTGAAAATTTTACTAGCTAAGTGAAATTTTAAAATACAAAGAAAAGCTTCATGTTGACAATTGAGACCAAGGAAGAACTTTAAGGTAACAAATATTAGTTAGAAATTCTTTGTAAGGGCCTAATCCAACAAGCCAGGAAATCTTGAGAGACTCAAGAGTATTCTGGAAATATTTCTATACTTAGAATGAGAAAAACCCTAGGCAACACTAGGCTCAAATTCTGTTTTTACTACTTCATACTTGATTTTGTTAAACCTAAACTCTTTGAACTGGTTTACTCACCAAAGAAATTAGGCATAATAATCTCTGTCTCTATCACAGGTTGTTAGGAAAATTAGAAAATGTAGAAGTTCTTTTGTTTTTTAAAGATTTTATCTACTTATTTTTAGAGAAGAAAGTGAGAGAGAAACATCACTTTGTGGTTGCCATTCAAGCACCCCCTACTGTGGACCTGGCCCACAACCCAGGCATGTGCCCTGACTGGGAATTGAACCAGAGACCCTTTGGTTCACAGTCCAGTGCTCAGTCCACTGAGCCACACCAGCCAGGGCAAAATGTGGAAGTTCTTTTTACTAATGTATACTACTATTTGTCTTTTATTACAAGTGTTCATAACATTTAAAGGGGTTTCAAACAGAATAAATTTCCCCTAATTATATCATAAGTTCTTATGCAAGAACTCTATAAATGGTTATTATATTCCATAAAATATAGTTTGTAAGATTTCAGAAAACTGTTCTTAAAAAAATAATAGTATGAAAACTTCAGCTGGGTTCATTTGTTTCTAAATAGGTTTGGCATTTTATAAATTCATTTTAACTTCACATGTAACATAACTCTTAACTACAGCATTCTCAGAGTAACTCCATCTATGATACGAGGCAATAAGTAGGTGATGACTACCATCAGGTTGTGCCATGGGAACCCAGAAGCAAGGTTAATTCCAACTGGAAAACTGAAAGGGAGTTATTGGAGAAGATAACATTTCAGCTAGGCCTTGAATGGCCTGGTGTGGGCAAAGGTGGGAGGGTTAATGGGAAGGAATGAGAGTTAGTAAAGAAACTCCTGCCCTGGCTGGTGTAGCTCAGTGGATTGAGCATGGGCCTGTGAACCAAAAGGTTGCTGGTTCAATTCCCAGTCAGGGCACATGCCTGGGTTGTGAGACACAGCCACACATTGATGTTTCTCTCCCTTCTCCTTCCCTTCCCCTCTCTATAAACTAAAAATAAATAAAATAAAAGACTCTGAAGGTTTAAAAAAAAAAAACTCCTGGTCATGATCAGTAAGGTAGGAAAATATACTGTCTGTAGAGAAAATAAAAAGACACTTGCTAGAGCAGGAAGGGTAGCATAGGGCAAACAAGTTGGGACTGAAGGCTGAAATTGTTGAGGTAGATTATGAAAGATCTTTGAAGTCTCACCAAGAATGTGGTAATTTAAAAGATTATCTAATGTTTCATTACTCAGAAAAAATCTTCCTTGAGTTTTTATTGAGATTCTTTTTAAGAAATATTTCAAAATCTCATCTGTTGGTCCCTCATGCTTTAAGAAATGTCCCAAAATTTATAAGCTGATTAAAAAAAAAGCTGAACATAAAACTCTGCTTAGAAATAATAAGTACCAGGTTCTTTTTATCCATTCCCTAATTCCAATTGAGTTGAGAATCACTTATTGACTCAGCAAAATGTTGTTTACTCTATGCCACTAACATACTAAAATATATACGATATACAAAGTGTTTGTCTTTTCAGAGCTTGTAGTTTAAAGGGAAAAAAATATGTCAACAAATAATGAAGTAAAATTGATGAGAATATTAAAAAATCATTATGAGGAAATAGGAGAGGTAATGAATTATTCTGTTTGAGCAAGTGTGAGGATGATGACATTTGAGCCAGATTTAAAAAAAAAATAAAGTTGCTAAGAAGTAGTGAAAGGGTGTTTTAGGACGAGGGAATAGTATGTGCAAGGCCTGAGGTGTGGCAGCACAATGCTGCAATACCTATTCTAAACAGCCGCCTATAATCTTGGGTTCAAAGTGACATCCACGCTCACAGGACAGTAGTCCATAACCTAGCTCCTTTAATTTGGATGAAAATACACCTACAAAACAGTGTATCGAATAAAGCACATCTTCAACTGGAGACTTTATAGGTAGGAGTCCTGATCCTGATATCTCTGACCCCCAAAAGGGATAGACTTAGCTGTAAGAGAAGAGATGACCTTATGCAGCCCACATCAGCATTAGGAAGCCTCGCCCTCAAGAACCACGTCTTTTAACTGACCAGTGGCAAAGTTTCCAAACTTTCACCAGCACAAGAGACTCCACAGTTACAACAGACTCCACAGAGGGAAGTAGAGGCCTAAGTTTTCCAGCTGGGTGCTACACAGTCTGGTCAGGTAGGCCTTCCAAGTACGCATGTCCACTCACATTTCCCCAGTCCTGACACAGTTAACAATTAAAGGTCTTTTTCATCATTTAAAAAAATGTTGAATACAGCTCACATTTCACATTTATTTTAGCTTAGTACACTTCCAAAGAAACAATATTGAAAGAAAGAAAAGTCAAGATAATTTCCTATGAATAAAAGGCTTAAGCTTGGTGTTAAGCCAAAAGTAATTAAAGTATACATTAATAATTTTATATGACTAAAAAGTAGGTGATAGTGGAAAGATGAGGATAGAATATAGATTAAAACCAGATTAAAAAGGGCTCTGTATGACAAGTCTAGACCTATTTTCCCCTAACAAAAAAGAAAAGCTGATTTAATCAATTCATTTTAATAAACATTTCCTAAATTGGATATGACATTTTTTAAAAAGCTCTTATTTTTAATCCCAAAAGCTGTGAATTAAAAACAGTATCATCTTCTTTAGAAGGGTGTTCCCTGTCCACCAAGCCTCTTACAACCTCTCCACCCGTCACTGCCGCACAGGTGCACACCCCTCCCACGGTGAATTTCCTCGTGTGCTCCCAGTGCAACTCCGTGATCGTTTTAACCAGAAAACATTAAGACTGCTCATACATACACTCCTCCCATTAAACTATAAATGATTCAGAAATTAAGATCTGTCATTCATTTTATTGTAGAAAATTGTCAAATATCCCTAAACTGACAATCAAATTAATTATATGCTTTTTAAAACAGAAGGAAAAATTAATATAAGCATCAGTTACAGGATATGCACTGGCTATGGTACAATTCAGAACTTATTTCTAACACTGGCTCACATTTCTTTAAAAAATTACACTTCTACTTAATGAATTGGAAATGTGTTTAATATAAAAGGTCAATATTCTCAAAGTATTTCCACATGAATTTAGGAAAATGAATTTTAAACAATCTTCAAAACATGATAAAGGACAGTGGCATCTTTGAAAAACATACAAACAAAAAAGTTAAGAAATCACAAGAAGATGTATTATATACTTGCTTTCCCCAAATTAGGTGTATGAAATAATAGTCACCAAAAAAGTCCCCTCCCACACACACACAAATTGGAAATGAAACACGTAATTATAAGCATCTTTGTAGGAAAGCTCCAAAAGACAAATATCTTTAACAATATAAAGATGGTGACGAGATTAACAAAAGCTTAAGAACACTGAGGTTTAACTGACAATATCAATTCACATGATTCTAAAATAAAAGGCTCCTACTTTAGCTTTATCTTAAATTGTCTTTGCTTCACTGCTTTATAATACACAGTTACAGTGTAAATCCAAGAGATGCTTAAAACAGAAGATTAAAATATTCTTAAAAAATTTTTCTTATCTGAGAAAATACATTGTAATAGTCCCCTCAAAATATTCCTGATAACATTAGAAGGTTGTGAAGTTTTTATATAATACCACGATCATCACAATGGATTCAGAACTGTTACCTTAACATTTAAAAAAAAAAAAAATTAAGCTCCATGGGGATTACGGGCCTCTGAAAACTACAGTTTAAAAACAGAAAAGCAATGAGAGTGATCTGGATTTGCAGATGAAC